CCTCAGATTCTGGCCCTGGGGGAAGGGACCGGAGCCCTGGAGATTAGACCCGCCTAGCAACTGTTGCTAAAGGCAAGTAGCCTTTGTTATTGAGCATTAGTAACACAATAGGAGGCTGAGCGGCCAGGATAGTCCATCAACATCATCCCAGGCCCTGAATTAGCCCCACTAGCAAGAAGGGGGAGGTAGTGCGGCTCAGCAAAAGAATTCCAGGGCAGACGGTTTTTAGTTGTTAATGTGTTGATGGCTCCCCCTACTCTGGCTAATGGGGGGCATTAAGGCATCGAGTCTCTATTGCAAGGGGCCTTTGTTCCAGGGTCAGACCAGAACAAATGGTCAAATCCCATCCCCCTCAGCCTCCACAGAATCCCAAATCCCAGCAGCCCTCCACTTTCTAGAAAGGCTGCTTAGGGGAGAGTGGGGGTGAGCAGAGTGGGCGAGGAGTCCCCAAGTTAAATGCTTCTGGAGTTCAGCGCTGGTGAGGAGAAAATACCAACTGCAGAGAAGGGGGGGGGATGGAATAGGAAGCCACTGCTCCAACTTTTCCCTCTTAACCTCTGAACTAATTTCTCAGCAGCTTCCCCCAAATACTAGCACCTGGAGCTCAAGAGGAAAGTCACAGCTTTCAAAAGAGCCGAGAGCCAAACTGCGTCTCTGTGATTTTCTCCCTTCCTCCCTCTTCCTCTCCCCCTCCCCTAAGGCGTCCTAGGCACTGTCCCCAGTCCCCACACTGAGGAAGTTCCCAGATTTTGCCCACCCGGAAGCCATCCCCTGGGAGGGGCCGGTCATTCTGGGTAAAGCATCAGCTTGGCCAGGCCAGGGCCTCTCATCCCCCTGCAGAAGAGCTGGAACACCCTCTCAGGGGACTCCTTTTAGACAAGTGTGGTGGCCACAACGCCCAGAAAGCCCACATGTGGCCTCTGCCCAGTTACTCTTTACTACCCACATGACCCTGGTCAAGCTTTTCGATGGAGCCTCTGTTTCCATATCTGCAATGCAGGGTCATTGTGAGGCTCACAGAAGGCAAGGCAGGCGGCATGCTGTGTCAAGGTCAAGATGAAGAGGGCCCTATTGCCAAGTGCGGGCTGGGTCAGACCAGTTGCACCAGCATCACTGTGACAGTTAACTCTGCAGCTTCCTGGCCCTACCCAAAAACTGGAATATTAGATCAGGGTCAAAACATGAATCTTAAACAGCACTGCCAAAGAATCCAGAGGTCCACCCAAGTTTGGAAGTAAACATTACAGGAAGACAAGAGGGATATATCATTGTCCCTGGACACTGGGGTGAGAGGTTGACGGACATACCATGGAAATGGGGCAAAAGTCAGACCAAGAGGAGAGTGGGTTGGGTGGGATGCAGTGGGCAGATCCTGTGCTTGGAGAAGGATTTTCCAAGCCAACGCACAGGAATACATTTCCAACCTACATAGTCCGGGCCCAGTGCCAGTTCATCTTTTTGCGTGACTTAATAGAAAGTGAATTGACCCACTCTTTTCTTTGAAGAGGATTATTTGTGCCCTTGTTTCATGGACTCAGCTCACAAAACTGATGAAAGCTCTACAAAGATAACAGCCCCACCACCACCACCACTTCCCAAGAAGTCAGAAATACAAATACAAATTTGTTCTCAGAATTAAACTATGAAACACCCAATGCAGGTGGAGATATTATTCACCTCTTCAGGGCTAAACTGGGAGCTAACCTAGAAAGGGCATTAACACATCTAAGAAAAAAGGTGGGTGATTGTTTGGGGGGGGTAAGAGAAGGGAGTAGAGACTGGAGGAAGCTTTGTGTCAGAAGAAGGGGAAGGAAGTCCTGACCCACAAACCTGAATTACTGGTTCTTGGTGCAGGTGTAACCTTTCTTAAAGGGTTCTTGAACCCTTTAAATCAAACTGGGGTTGAAAGTCAGTTTAGGAATCCTAATCAGAATTTAAAATTTTCTTTAGTGTGCAGAAATATCAGAGCAGATGTTGTAGATGTCAAATGTAAGCAGTTAGTTATTTAGACCATGTACAGTGTTTACTTGGACAAAACATTATAAGAGTAGGCAGATAGTACACATTCTCAGTGAAAGCTATCCACTTCCTTGACTCCCAGACTCACAACCCCTTGTATAAACTCTGGAGGACCAGGCCCTCAATTTCCACTGCAACTAGACAAGTGTGGGTCTTCTTTCTAGTCTTCCTGCCCCATTCAAATAGGGTTCTGAATATTAATTTCATACTGTGTGTTTACTTTTTTCCAGAAATGTTTTATAGATGTATATGGATTCATATGAAAATACTTCTTCAATAGTCAGATTATTCTAGGACTTTTTCCTCCCTGGGGAAAGAGACTCCCTCAGAAACTCAGAGCTCAGTGATGAGGCATATTAGAGTTCTGTTTCACCAACACTTTTCTGGCTATAATTTGGCTGGCGCCACCCAGGAGGTCCCCCAATGGCACTTTCTTCAAGTGCACACAGAACATTATCAAGAACAGACAATATTTTGGGACACCGTCAATTGTCAATTAATTAAAAGGAAATCAAGGCAGAAATTTAAAATACCTAAATACCTAAGACAAACAAAACTGATGATACAAATTACCAGAATCTATGGGACACAGCCAAAGTAGTCTTAGGGGGAAGATAATTAGGCTCACATCAAAAAGCAAGAAAGGGCCTTCCTGGGGGCGCAAGTGGTTAAGATGCAACCTATGAAGCTATCTGCAGCCAGTGCAGCACAAGTTCAATGCCTGGCCAGGGAGCAAACCACATGGCACAGCAGACCTCTCCTGACTCACTGCTGCTCCCCTCAGCAGTGTATTTCCGTCGACCTGCCTGTTCTGTTCCCCACTCTGTCTCTGGTGAATCCTCTCACCCTCCCACACTTCTGGCCTGTACCCCAGCTCTTGTATGCATAAATAAATAAATCTTTTTTAAAAAAAAAAAAAAAAGCCAGAAAAATCCCAAATAAACAATCATACTTAAAGCAACTTGAAAAAGAGGAACAAACAAGACCCAAATTTAGTAGAATGAAAGAAATAATAAACATAAGAATGGAAGTAAATGGAAAACTATATGACCCAGCAATCTACTGTTAGGCATATATCCACAGAATATGAAACCATGAACAAAAAAATTCATATGTTCCACAAAGTTCATGGCCTCCCTGGTGTGGCACAAGGGGTTAAGCACAGCACTATGAAGCTGTCTGCAGTCTCTGCAGCACAAGTTCGATCCCTGGCCAAGGAGCTACCCACATGGCATAGCAGACCTCTCCTGAGTCTCCCGCTGCTCTCCTCAACAGTGTATTTCAGTGGATCTGCCTGTTCTGCTTCCCACTCTGTCTCTGGTGAGTCCTCTCATCCCCCACACCTCTGGCCTGTACCCCAGTTCTTGTATGCATAAATAAATAAATCCTTAAAGAACAGTTCATAGCAGCACAAACCACCGAGTATTATACAGCCATAAGAAAGGACACAATGCAGTTATTTTCAACAAAAATGAAGGGAATTTGAGAGAATGATGTGCAGCAACATCAGAACAATAAAGATAAATACTGAACATATATATAGCAGACAATTTGATAATGTAAAACGCTTCAAAACTATTGGACACATTAGCAAACATCCTGAGGCCTCTGAGGTTAAGAGGGAGTGTGTAGAGAACAGAACAAGGGGACACAAAGGATGAGGAGGGTGTTAAAGTAAAATAAAAGTAATGGTAAAAATCTCTAGTCCTATTGCAGGTTGATAGGATATAGGATAACATTTTCAGGACTCAGTTTTACCTATGGAAGTCTCTTAAACATTCCTTTTCTTTTTTTTTTTTAAAGACTTATTTTATTCATGCATACAAGAGCCAGGGTACAGGCCAGAGGTGCGGGAGGATGAGAGGACTCACCAGAGGCAGAGCAGGAAACAAAACAGGCAGACTGACTGAAATACACTGCTGAGGAGAGTACCAGGTGAGTCAGGAGAGGTCTGCTGCGCCATGTGGGTATCTCCGCGGCCGGCCAGAATTGAACCCGCGCTGCAGAGGCTGCGGACAGCTTCACAGCATTGCACTCAACTGCCTGGGCCACCAGGGAAGCCTCTTTTAAACAATCTGATAAAAGAATACTTGGAACAAATATTCGTGTGCCTCTGTTTAAAAAAAAATAGTTCCTTGAGTGTTCCAGTTTAAAAAAAAGAAAACCACCGGGACTAAAATAACATAAAAAGAGTAACATTGCATATAGGTAGAATTATATAAACAAAATTGAAAATAATGCATTCATTCTTTAATTGCTTTGTTTTATCCCCTATTTTTCCTTAGCACTTTTACTGCTTCTTTCATTTATCTCAGTCAGTCAACTACAATAACAAAAAGATGGGGCCTCCCTGGTGGCCTACCACCTTGAAGTTCCACTGAGACAAACTGAGTTCAAGACCCAGGCAGGGAGCTACCCACATGGTGCGGCAGACCTCTCCTGTCTCGCCCACTGCTCCCCTCAGCAGTGTGTTTCAGTGGATCCGCCTGTTCTGCTCCCCACTCTGTTTCTGTTGAATCCTCCCACTGCATCTCTCATCTACACCCCAGTTCTTCTACGCAAAATAAATAAAAATCTTACAATAAAGGAATAATTCTTTAAAAAAAGAAAAGGGGGGGCAAAAGGTCCAGGCAAGAGGCACTGCTCAGTGTGAGAGACCAGGAACCCTGGGTGTCCCTTGGGCTGTGGACGTGTGGAAGGGGGTAAGAGATTGTTGCCTGACGCAACAAGTGGCTGACAAAGACACGGGCGTTGTGGAGCAGGCTGCACAAGGCAGGATGCTCCACAAGAGATTCACCGCTTTTGCTACCCCCAGTCCAGTGCATTTCAGGTCTCCTTGCTCATGGTGGCCCCTGAAAAGTTTCACATTTTACCGGGGCTGAAATCAGGAGGGTAGGGAGGACCAGGGTAGGAACGGTGACGACAGACAGTGTATGATGTGAAAGTCAAGCCCAAGCAGAGAAAGGGCGGGATGGGCTCACCGGGAACAACATGGCTCTGAGCTCCAGGTACAGCACGTTGTCCTCATAGAACTCCTGCAGGCCCTGGAAGATGTAGTCTCTGAACACCGGTGCATAGTGGACGAGGCCCGCGATGGTGAAAAAGATGGCTTCAAACTTAGACCAGACCACATTTTGGTTTGCATAAGCCACATCAGGGTTTTCTGTCATCATAGTAAAATTTCTCAGCAGGCTGTGCAGGACACAAAGGGACAGGCTGAGGAGGCCTGTGTGAGGCCAGGGCACCTGCAGGATTTCTTCCGCTTGTTGGTTTCCCTCACTCAGAAGCAAACCAGGCTATAAAAGCAATGAAGGGAGGGGGCCTTCCTGGTGGCGCAAGGGGTTAAGCCTCAGCACTCTCAAGCTATCTGCAGCCACTGCAGCACTGGGGTGTAGGCCAGGGGTGCTGGGGGGTGAGAAGATTCACCAGAGACATAGTAGGGAGCAGAACAGGCAGATATGCTGAAATGCACTGCTGAGGGGAGCAGCAGGCAACACAGGAGAGGTCTGCTGTGCCATGTGGGTCAGCTCCCTGGCTGGGGATAGAATTCAGGAACACAGGCTGTTTGGGATGGAACACAGGCTGTCCGAGATAGCGCTGAGATTTAACTCCTACACATCAGGGGGCCCCACCTCTGGATAATTTTTAAGGCCAGATTCTTGTCCATAGGTCTGTACAAGGGCAGCCCACCCACCACCCGGGACGGGCTATTGACCCATGTCCTGTGAACAACACCTGTTATCAAATTCAGTGACATTTTGCAGCATCTTCCGATATTTCTCTAGCAGAATCCACTCTGAACACTCTGTTGGCGCAGGGGTGGGAGGAGTCGGGTAAGCAAATTTGAACTGCATGGCCCCGCGTGGAGTGAAACAGAAGTGGCAGTGCGGCCTGTATGTGGCATTTTTCACCAGCCAGTCCATACTCAGGATGCCGAAGTCATGGAGGTGTAAGGCAGCCCCTGGAGAGGCAAGGAGGGGCCAGAGGTGAAGTCCAGATTGCAGGGATCTCTGAGGACAGAGAAGATTGGCCCAGAAAAGATGGGATGGGCCAGGAATTCTATCTGGTCAAGTTCCATGGAATTGAAGGTCATTGTCAGTCCCCCTGTCACCACTGCCTTCTTGGGTCTGGCTTAAGAATGGGGCTTCCCTGCTGCCTCCCTCACTAGTCAAAGCGGGGTAGTCTTATTAGGAAGGGCAGCATAGTAGGATGGGGGAGCTACAGGCTGGGATCTGCAGGCTGAGGTTTAAGTTGAGTTTCCATCAGCTTCTAGTTCTCTCCATCGGGAACGCAAGCCTTTCAGTGAGGCCTTGCCACCCACACTGCACAGAGATGCAATGAGAATATGCCTCAGCACAGTCCCACCTGCTCATATGTGAATACTTGACCTTGACCTGCTCATCCTGCTCACCATCACCCCACCCCAGGCTCTTCATTCCATGCTGCCGCCTGTCTGTGTCTGTGCAGCTTCTGTTCTGCAGATTTTATGGTTTGTGGCCCTGGGCTTGTCCTTCGGATCTAACACAAATATTGAAACTGGCCTCCTCAAAATACAGCATACTCTGTCCCTACTCCTCCTGCTTCATCTTAGCATCCAAACTTGACCCTGGCCCCACATCAGCCTATGTCTTGTCTGTGTGAACCTTGGGGTCACCCTCTAGGCCCCCTGCTTTCCATCAACTGGGGATACTATTTTACCAAACTCACAGGCTCAGAGTCGCTGTGTGGAGTCTCTGGGGCCCCTTTAGAACACTAACAGCTCCAAGTTTGGTTTCCCTGCATCTTTCCAGGACCCCAACACCGACCTCTCCAAACCTCTACCTTTTGGCATCTTCTTCAGGATATTAAACACCTCACTTTTCTCAATGAGACTCTTGGCCTGGAAAAAGTGCATACTGGGTGGGAAATTCTGGGTCTTCATGGCCTGCGTCAGCTCTGCCTTTTTGAGGGTCATTAGCTTCGTATTGGCCAGCTCTTCTTCTTTCTTCAGCACCAGCTGCCCCCCTAGCTGCATCATCTTCTCTCTCATTAGCAGCTGGTTCCGTTCCTCATCTATAGGTATGCCCAAGCAGGAAGACGACATCGCCACTGCCCACAGCAGGGATAGCAGGGCCGGCCGCCCGGGAGGGACACCCACCAGCATTGGGATGCCTGCAAGAGGAAAAGGCTTGGATGAGACCCAGTGGCATTAAGGAGGTGGGGAGGGAGAAAAAGAGGTGTCTACAGATGTAAACACTGGGCTCTGATTTTTCTTCTCCAGCACTGTTTGCAGATTACCAGAAAGCAATATATTTTGCTTCATTTCCTCTCAGACCCCAAAGACCCCCAGGTACAGACAAGAAGGGGTTTGCCAAAGGAGGGGTTCCCGTGAGGCCTCTTTATCGGGGAGCTTCTGGGTCAGCCAGCCCTGTTCACACAGAGGAAGACACTGCAATCGGATTTGTCGTGTTTCACTTTTAAATATACCCAGACAGCAAAGGATCACAAGGCAGAAAAAGAAAGTTTCCAATGTGACAAAGAAAGAAACAAACAAAAAGACATTTAGAAGGAATCAAAGGGAAACAGAGGCAATGTGGGTAATACAAGAAAAATTCAAAAGAAATTTAGTTAATATTCTCAGAAAGATAAGAAAAGATATTGAAAACAGGAATAGGGGTTATAAAAAACAGAATGAAAAGAACTTTTAGAAATGAAAAATATAAAATATGAAATTCAAAAAAATGTACTAACGATATTTAAAGATGGAATTAGAGGAAATATTTTAGAAATTAGGACAAAGAAAAACATGAGATGATTGTGGGTTCAGGAAATTCAACATCCAAATAGCAGACATTTCAAAAGGAAAAGGAAGAAATGGGCGGAGTGGAGAAAAAGCATAAATAGTACAAGAAATTGGGCCTCCCTGGTGGTGCAGGGGTCAAAGTCTCAGCACTATGAAGCTATCACTAGCCTCTGCAGCATGAGTTCGAACCCCAGCCAGGGAGCTACCCACATGGCTCAGCAGACCTCTCCTGGCTCACCCGCTGCTCCCCTCAGCAGTGTTCTTCATCAGTCTGCCTGTTCTGTTCCCTGCTCTGTCTCTGGTGAATCCTCTCACCCTCCACACCTCTGGTCTGTACCCCAGTTCTTGCATGCATAAATAAAAATATCTTACAAAAAAATAGTACAAGAAATGGCTCCAGAGTCAAATACCTGTGTCCAGATTGATAAGACACACCAAGTACTCAGTACAGCACAATTACTCAATAATCACACCAAGATACATCACCTTGATATTTCAGGATATGAACATTTTTAAAAATTCTAAAAGCTTCCAGAAAGCAGTTGGTGTGGTTGACAGTGAGCAGAGGTTTAAGGAAAATAGGAAAGAAACTTGTATTTATTAAGAGTCTCCTCATGCCAGACACTATGTTTAGTCTTTTCCCTGGGTTGTCTATTTGAATTTAAAGGTTGTTTCTGCATACTTGTACATATCATGTGTTATACCAGACAGAAAAGAAATATAATGTTAAGGAAATATATTAAGCAAAGTATTTTTAATAAAGATTTATTTTTGTTTTATTCATGCACACAAGTACTGGGTTGTAGACCAGAACTGCGGGGGTGAGAGGATTCACCAGAGACAGAGTGGGGAGCAGAACAGGCAGATCTACTGAAACACTGCTGTGGGGAGCAGCGGGAGAGACAGGAGAGGTCTGCTGGCGCCATGTGGGTTATCTCCCTGACCAGGGATCAAACTTGTGCTGCAGTGGCTGCCAATAGCCTCATAGTGCTGAGACTTAACCCCTTGTGCCACCAGGGAGGCCCACAAGAGAAAATTTGACGAAGGAACTAGATGACCTAGTGTCACATTTATGGCAGGGGCTCTACTGACAAATTTTAAGGTTTATTTATTTAGGCATACAAGAGCTGGGGTACAGGCCTGAGGTGTGGGGGGGGGGTGAGAGGATTCACCAGAGACAGAGTGGGGAGCAGAACAGGCAGATCTACTGAAATACACTGCTGAGGGGAGCAGCGGGCGAGTCAGGAGAGGTCTGCTGCGCCTTGTGGGTAGCCCCCTGGCCGGCTGGGGATTGAACTTGTGCTGCAGTGGCCGCGGGCAGCTACATAGGTTACGTCTTAACCCCTGGCGCCAGCAGGGAGGTCCTTCACTCTAGGGCAAGAGGGCCATGACATCTGTGTCACTGTTCCCTCCACTCTACCCTGCATCCTCCACACAACAGCCCCAGTCCTTGCCCCTCTCTCCTCAGTGACTCATAACACAGCCTACCAAGGTCCAAAATCTCCAGTTCTGTCCACCCCAAAGACTTCAAGATTGTGCCCATGGCCCAGTCCCTGGGGCTTGTGCCAGTCTGTCCTACCAAAAGGAATCTGATGCTGGTCAGGACCCATCTGGTCCAGCATCAGGGGAAAAATAGCCTGTCAACATGTGCTGTTGGAGGGACTACCTCGTCTTCCCTCTCCCCACAAAATGTTTCTTTTACTTTAAAAAAGGGGTATATGAAAACTCTATAAAAATGTTTCCAGACCAAGAACAAAGGAATAGACCATGCATCTGCAATTCTGAGTAAATCTCCTTGGACACACACCATTTCAAAAGCCTGTCCCGAAGAAAAGCTACGTTCTTCCTCCCCAAGGACCCTGGGGCGGTGGCACTGGGGGTGCCTCCAGGTAAATGGGGAAAGCGCCCAACATGGCAAGTACGTGCTGCAACTTCCCAGCCCAGCGCTCCACCCAGACCCCCACCCCAGGGGATCCCACTTACCTCAGGCAGCTCCAGAAACTGCAGACTGCTTGCTTAGGCCCCTACAGATGTGTCAGAAAAACCAGAAAAGCTCCCCATCCTGTTTCACTTCCTACTGGGGCAGGTTTCACTTCCTCCTAGCCTCGTGTTGCACAGGCTCTGAAGACAGGCAGGGACATGGGCCTGCAGCCCAGGCAGCAAGGAGGCTGGACTGCGTGGGTGCATGGGCGCTGTGTATGTGCATTTGTGTGTTTGGGGGGTTACCTGTACGTTTGTATGGGTTTATGTGGGGGGCAGGTATTGTGAATGTTTGAATGTTCATGTTTTTGGGGGGGAATTTATCCACAATTGTGTGTGTTTGGGTGCTTGTGTGCATCTGTGTGTGGCGGGGGGCGGGGGTTAAGCTTATTGGGGGCAGGGACCTGTGTGTTTGTGTGCAGCGTGTCTTTATAGGGTTCAGGGCATAGTTTGGACAACAGGTACCACAAAGAGATGCTCTAAAATCTTAGAAAGAATACCCTCCTCAAAATGGGATTATGAGCTGGGGGGGCAACTTACTGGATATTCACTAACAAGGGTGACATGACAAAAGGTGAGTGTTTGAAGGGGGCATCAGGGATCGGTGTAGAACAGTGGAGTGGTAGGCAGGAGTGAGGTGTGGCTGGTATGGGAGGCCTGGCGGAGGGACAGCAAGCCTGGCAGGCCAGGCAGCAGGCCTGGCCCCCGGAGGGAGAGTGGACTGGGTCAGATTCGATGCCGGGATGCTGGAATCCAGCTGAGCTTCTCACCCCACTCAGCAATCACAGCCATTTGGCCTTGATCATGTTACTTTAACTCTGTGCTTCAGTTTCCTGATCTGAAAGTAAAGATAGAAAAGCACTTACTGCATAGGGTCCACTGTGGGAATTAAGTGGAGAATGTGTTCCAGGTGGCTGCTGCGAAGTCCATCTGCAGTAAGCATTGGCCACTACAATGACCAGAAGGAACTGGTGAGACGCAGGGCCCAGGCCCAGCAAGCTGTCGTGACGGCTGCGCCGGTGGCTTCTGTGGTGCACACGGGTTACAGGCTGGCCGGGAACCCCTTCTTCCCAGTCTCACTCGAAGGGCCTTCCGCCCTCAAACACACCCACCAGCCCACCCTGCTTCCACTTCTGCAGCTCCCCAGGGGCCGAAACCTCTGGGCCCCTGGTCAGCCGTCCACTGAACACAGAATCCAAAAGTGACAATGCAAAGGAATTAGGAATTTCTTCTTCAGAAGCTCAAGGATAATGTTTTGAAAATCAGCGGAATCAGAAGGAACGAGCAAGTAGTAAAGAAACGAAATTAATAGGGAAGGGTAGGAAGGGCACGCCCGTGATTTTAATGTGAACTATTTGAAGGGTTTGGTTTTTTTTTTAACTACCAGATCAGAAGTGAAGTTCTGCTTTCCCAAAGCTTTGGTTAAAAGTAGGCGCTGATTTTCACATCTCAAAAAGTTGGCTCAGGGGCTTCCCTGGTGGCGCAAGGGGTTAAGTCTCAGCACTGTGAGGCAATCCTCAGCCACTGCAGCAGGAGTTCCATGCCCAGCCAGGGAGCTACCCACATGGCACAGCAGACCTCTCCTGTCTCGCCCGCTGCTCCCCTCAGCAGTGTGTTTCAGTCAGTCTGCCTGTTCTGCTCCCCACCCTGTCTCTGGTGAATCCTATCACACACACACACACACACACACACACACACACCCCGCACCTCTGGCCTGCACCCCAACTCTTGTATACACAAATGAATCAATATTTAAAAAAAAAAAAAGTTGGCTCAGCCACTCCAGCTCATGCCTTGGCCAGGGAGTGCAGTGAAGCCAGCTGAGGTCTGTGGGTTTTGTGACAGGAGCAGCCGCTTTAGGCAGAATCCACTTGGGTGAGGGGAGTGAAGACCCAGTCCTTGAGGCAGAGACTAGAGAGGCATGGCTGGGCACCCACCCTTTGGCACAGGATCAGAAGCAATGACCAAGGAGTTTGACAGCAGGCTCTGCAAAGCTCCTGGGCAGGGCTGTTAGTCCAGAGCCAACTTCTTGCCCTTTTGTGGCTGAAGTCACTATTTTTTAAAAAGATTTATTTATTTATGCACACAAGAGCCGGGGTGTAGGCCAGAGGTGCAGAGGGGAGGGTGAAAGGATTCACCAGAGACAGAGTGGGGAGCAGAACAGGCGGATCCACTGAAATACACTGCTGAGGGGAGCAGCGGGCAAGACAGGAGAGGTCTGCTGTGTCATGTGGGTAGCTCCCTGGCTGGGGATCGAACTTGTGCTACAGAGGCTGCAGATAGCTTCATAGTGCTATGCTTAACCCCTTGCACCAACAGGGAGCCCCTGAAGTCACTTCTAAGGACCCATCAGCCTGGGGTGTGACTGTAGTCATTGACTAACAGAAAAAGTGTGACATCTGAGGACAGCAAGCAACAATGTAAAATGGGGAGGCCATTCTGGAAGAACATTCTGCCAGGTGCAGAGACAATAGAATGTAGAACCAAGCTCTGCTGTTCATGCTTTATTGAAGATGAGTGTCAGAGCAGAACTGGGCTTGTGTTCAGAATCTGAACATCTATAGGACAAAGAAAGAGCCAAAACACCTTTTAGTGACGACACAACTGAACATAAATGAAAAGAAGCCAGAAAGGACCGGCAGGATTTGGGCCCCAAATTGGAAACAGAAAATGTGTGAGGATTAAAAGCGGTCTCTGAAAAAAATAAAAAATAAAAAATAAAGGTGGTCTCTGATTGCGCAAATATTGAGAGTTACTTTATTAAAACATCATTTCCCCCACTAATACCATGAATTTATACGCTATCCATGACCTCAAGGACAGTCAACTATGGTTTCAACTATGGTTGAAAGTTTAAAGGACTGCATAGTCCATTTTTTTAGAAAATGCTCACTATTGGCGTTTTAAAAATGGAAATAATAATAGCAAGAGCTTGAAAATTATATGCATTTGCTCTTTTTAATAACCCTTGCAGTAATCTTAAAAGGTAGGGATTATTGCTATCCCCCTTAACAGGTAAGCATATAAAGCACCTGGGGGTTGGTGACTTGCTGGTCACACAGCTGGTAACCAGTAGAGTATGGACTTGCCTCTGGTAGCTTCCACCTACCACCCTCCCTGCTGGCAAGGACAAAGGTCTTGAGAGCAGCAGGAGTCCCTGCCTGGAGCAGCTCTTGAGAGACAGGAGGACAGAGCCCTGGAGAAGAGCACAGGTAGCCAAGAGGATACAGGAATAAACATTTGCAGGTACAGGGCAAGGTTTCCAAATACCGGGAGCTGTGCTTTTTGTTTTTAAAGATTTATTCATCCATGCATACAAGAACTGGAGTACAGGCCAGAGGCATGGGGGGTGAGAGGACTCACCAGAGACAGAGTGGGGAGCAGAACAGGCAGACTGACTGAAATACACTGCTGAGGAGAGCAGCGGGCGAGACAGGAGAGGTCTGCTGTGCCATGTGAGTCAGCTCCCTGGCCAGGGATCGAACTCATGTTGCAGTGGCTGGTGATAACTTGATAGGGCTTTGTTGGACAGTATTTTGAATCCATTGCTTTATTGTGCAAGAGTTTTGGGACACTGATATTTTATTATATATTAAAGAATATCCCAGTGAAGTGATAGGATGTTTGGGATTTGTTTAAATTATATGCAGCAAGAGAGTAGGATAAGTGGGAGATTAAAAAAGAATTAAAAAATTCTGTTGATAAGGATTGAAGTTAGATGGTGCATGTATGAGGTTCGTTTTGACTATTTGTAAATTTGCATAATTTCAAAATTTTTCAAATGACAAATGTGTAAAAATGTTCTATTCCTACCTCGATGATGTGGCCTGATGATGTGTCCTGATATTAGCAGATGCGCGAAGTTGCCTGCAAGCATGCTGGCAGCATGGTCCCCAGATGAAGCCCATTTCCTCCCAAAAAATAGAAGAGGAGCAGAGGTGCAGGCCGTGGAAGGGGCAGGCACTCAGGATTTCCAAGGACAGAGGTGGGAGTGAGGCTGGGGCCTCAGGCAACGGGAGGGGAAGACAGGTGGGTGTGGAGCAGGCAGGGCCAGACCAGGTGAGGAGCTGGACAACTCAGTGAGGAGTAACTGAAGGGTGTTAAGCCAGAAGGTGATCTGCCGATTCTGCTGGATCTCTCAGATGGCTTGATGAGATGGTTTCTGAGCACTGAGCAGGAAATCCTGGTCATAGTCGAGTCACTAAAAGTCCTTGGGGGCCTCACTGGTGGCACAAGGGGTTAAGACACAATCTATGAAGCTCCGCTGCAGCACGAGTTCGATCCCCGGCCAGGGAGCTACCCACATGGTGCAGCAGACCTCTCCTGAGTCCCCCACTGCTCCCCTTAGCAGTGTACTTCATTCAGTCTGCCTGTTCTGTTACCTGCTCTGTCTCTGGTGAATCCTCTCACCCTCCACACCTCTGGCCTCTTGTATGCATAAATAAATAAATCTTTAAAAAAAAAAAGTTCTTGGAGTTCAGGTTTGAGGACCATGTGCAGGTACAGGTGATGGTGCAGTGCAGAAGTGATGGCTTCTGCATTGGTTTAGGAAAACTTTCACCAAATATGTCCCGGTGGATCAATATCACACAATGAGGACCTCCCTGGTAGCTCAGGGATTAAAGTCTCAGCACTATCAAGCTATCAGCAGCCACTGCAGCATGAGTTTGATCCCCCACCAGGGAGCTGACCCACATATGGCGCAGCAGACCTCTCCTGTCTCACCTGCTGCTCCCCTCAGCAGTGTATTTCAGTCAATCTGCCTGTTCTGTTGCCCATTCTGTCTCTGCTGAATCCTCTCACCCCCCCCCCCACACCTCTGGCCTACACCCCAGTTCTTGTATGCATAAATAAATTTCCACAGAGAACACAAGTGCCTGGAAGCTGGGGCTCTAATCCGCACCGGGGCTGGGTTTCAGCCCCTCACCAGTTTACTAAATTTGCTTTTATTTTTCACCAAGTGGGTTAGTGTGTGTGCATGAAGTGAAAGTATTGTTGAACTATAAAGTAACTATACAGTGTGAGTGATATTCCTTGCACAGATTTTTCTCTGGAACCTTTCTTTTCTCACTTCATAGAATGTGCTGAACATAATTGACCCGTTAATATCATGCTTTGTATTGCTACTGCATTATCACTGCATTTAGTAGTGCTGCTGACGTGTGTAGCACTGTTTGACCCTATTCTGAATGGTTTTGCTTTTAAATATGATTTTAAAAATATGATTTTTCGGTCCCTTCCCATGCATTTAACTTGCGACTTCTGGTGGATCTTATGTTTAGCAATTTTTCCTTCTAATGTGTTACTTCTTGTCCTTGGACTGAGGAACCAGAAAACCAAACTTGCAAGGAATGTGAGTTCTAAGCGAGAGCTTCTTCAATTTTGTGATGAGTCAGGGCACATTCATAAGGACATGGACTGATTTTCAGATACAGAATTAACCTTAATAAACTTTAAAAAAAAAGTTAAAATTAACCTTACTTCCCGTCCCCAATCCTGCTAAAATGACAGCGAAGAGAGTTCTTTTTCATCACTGTCTTTGTTGTTGTGTTGCTTTATAATAACCCCTTTACATTTCTTTCTTGTGCAGTTTGGTACCAATATATATATTTTAAAGATTTATATTATTTATGCATACAAAAACTGGGGTACAGGCCAGAGGTGTGGGGCATGAGAGGATTCACCAGAGACAGAGCGGGGAACAGAACAGGCAGAATGACTAAGTACACTGCTGAGGGGAGCAGCGGGCGAGTCAGGAGAGGTCTGCTGTACCATGTGGTTTGCTCCCTGGCCAGGGATTGAACTCGTGCTGCAGCGGCTGCAGATCACTTCATAGTGCTGCATTTTAACCCCTTGCACCACCAGGGAGGCCCCCAATAATTTTTTTTTTTTTTAGTTTTTGCTTTTCGGTAAAACTCTTAACCTTCCTCTGTCTTGAATGTTGATTTT